CCGGATGGCTCAGTGGATAGAAAGTGCGCTCTTAACAACAAGGCTGCTGGTTTGACTCCCGCAGGGATGGTGGCTATGCCCACCTGCAACTAAGATTGAACACAGCACCTTGAGCTTAAAGGCCACGAGCTGCCAATAAGCAGCCAGATGGCGACTGGTGCCCTCCACAACTAAGATTTAAGAACAACAACTTGGCTGGTCCTCTTCCCCAATTCCCCAACACTGTTCTCCTCCCTCAATTTCCCCACCCCACCACCCCCAAAAAAACCAAACTTGTAATCTCCTTTAGAAGCAAAATATCCTTGACACTTCCAAATTTTCTTCCTGACCATAAATGATCATAAGCATACCATGAAAGCAATGGCTGTTGGACCCATCCATATTCATTTTAATTTTCTTGCATTTGGGTGTGAACATAGATGAGGTGGTGTAAAAGTAGTTGCTGACCTGCACAGCCAGTGGAAATGCTGCACTTGTTGAAAGTTCTCATTTTGTTAGGGTACTAAATGTTACTCCTTACTAATTAACCCCAATGTTTGTGTGTCTCCATTTACCAAAATGATTTGACTACTGTTCCTTGGTAACACAAAGAGAATGCATTTTGAATTGATTTGTTCAGAAAGATGTTAAATGCTTTTTAGGAACTTACAAGTCTAATTTGGTTTACATGATAATTTGTTTTACTTCAGAGTATTAATAAATTCTTACTTAGGTTGACTTTAATACCATGACGATGCCAAGTGATTTTCATTTTTCTTCCTTTAGTGGTGTTCGTCCATTTGGAGTTTCTTTACTAATTTGTGGTTGGAATGAGGGACGCCCATATTTATTTCAGTCAGATCCATCTGTAAGTATCATCAGGCGCTTTTGAGGGATTTGTTGAAGTACTTTTTTAATATCTAATAAAAAGAATAACCATAAGAAGTTTAAAATTTAGCAGTATTTTGTCTTTTTCACTTGGGTTTTAGAAAATAGGGACTAGTGTGTATTTATTTGCACATTTAAAGTATTTATAATTCAGTCTTTTCATGAGGAAGCTACATTAGTTCTGCCCTCTCTGTTCTGTCTTGTTCATTAACCTCACATAATCGAATGATTCGTTAAAGTAGTTGTTATCAAATCTTTAAACCTG